TAAGGCGCTATTCACAAAACACTGGGACTAGATTTATTTTAAAAAATAAAAGTCCTGTTCTAAATAGTACTGTATATTTGGTATTATGTGCATTGGTCCCACAGACTTACAGTCTGATGTGCAAAAATGTGCAGGCAATTGCACAGTTAGCTTGTCCAACTATGTTCAGAACCTGGTATTTGCACATTCAGATGATTAGATGTTCAACTGAACAATCACATGCAATTACAGTAACAGAAAATGTATTTTTTGGACACAGCACTAGGCGCCTGTTCTTAAATGCCTGAATACAAAGGTTTTCACATGGCATAGTGGCTTTATCAAGTACATTATCACAGCTAAAAATAAAGTGAGCTATGGAGGAGAGAAAAAGGGGGTGGTAAAGTATATTCAAGTTAAGACAGCGAGATTAGGAAAAAAACAGTCTACTTTATAAAGATACAAATCAATCTTAGTATCAGATAGTGCTCACAGGACCACTGGCTTTCTCAATATTCTGTATTGTAAAAAAGATATTTTACACATCTATTTACAATATTACTGAGATATAGTGCTTGATGTCTTAAAAATATTAAAATATATGACAGTACTGGCTGTTCTGATGTATACTCTGATGTGTTAAGGCAGTAATACAGTTAGACATCAGTGAAAGTGTCAAGCAAAGCTACTTGAGCTAAGACACTGAAACTTTTCCCTTAAAGACTGGACTATATTCTGCTGATTAGGAGATGGTACTCTCCACAAGTAGTCATTTAATTTATCTGTATCACTGTATGCAGTCAGATAAGGGGTAAGTGCGTGTTTGCTGTTCGCTGATTTTGCAGAAGCACAAGACATGTTTTTGCTTGAGGGAGTGTCAGAAGAATCACCATCTACATTATTCAACTTTGGGTCTGATTTCTTTGTTTGGTTCTGTGTAGTCTCTAAGTCAGACCCCTCATCATCAGATTTTATCTCAACATAGTCATCGTCATCCCCTTCTTCTTCAGTATCTTTGAAATTACAAAAATAGTTCTGCGTCGCTATTTGTGCATTTAGTGGTGAGTTCCTGTTTATTCTCAGGACTTTCTGAGAGTCTTGCAGAATCATGTCTGAACAGCTTTCAGGGTGCTGCTTTCTTACACTGGATACCAAGAATCCTGAAGCAGCAGTTGACAGAGACTCTTGGTAGGTATCAGATCTAAAATGTCTATTTGAATGTAACTTCTTCTTGTCCATTTCATTGGGGTAGATAATTGCCTCCCCAGACCTGTTGACCACAACTGAGGAAGAGGACTGTGACCTGCTGTACACTTGTGATTTTGTAATGTGTGCTCTTCTTCCAAGAGAGTTATACATGCTATCTTGATGTAAATTCTCTTTGTTAGGCTGACTTATAATAGCACTCCACCTTTGTGCTGGAACATGCAGACGTGTAGAAATCTGAAGGGAAGGCACTGAACAAGCTGATGGCAACTGTCTTAGATTGCTTTTTGTGCCAGTCTCTGCAGGGGAACTCTTTGACTTTGGTTCTTGGACTTCCGGCCAAGGAGAGAAATCAGCTAGTTCTCCATTACTGTATGTAGAATGTAAAAACCAGTCTTCTTCTCTTAAGCATTCACTAGCTAACTGAGAATGAGAAGGAGATGTTGATTCTGGTGAGGAATACCTTAAGGTTGATGGCTTCTGAGAACTGGCCCAGGTATCCTTTTGGATTCTGGGTGAAGTCTCTCTAAAAACGATCTGGTCATAAAGCTGGGAATATTCAGCAATTCTGGCACCTGGAAAAGAGAAGTATTTAACTTGTATTTCATATGATGGTGGTAAACTTTAACAAGCAACATGAAAATTAAAGTTCAGAAAGCAGAACACCATACAGCAGTCAGAATAAAAGTTTAAAACAGCATCAATATGTTTAGCCTTTAAGTCCAGCCACAAAGCCTGGGTCCTTCTTTGTCAGCTTGGAGCTGCTAAGTCTGACTTGTCAACATCCACACAGGATAGCAAATGCTATCACCTTTCATCTTTTCCGTGCTTTCTGGATCCCAATTGACCAGACCATCAGACAGAATGCATAAGAAAAAAATGGCCACTGGGACCTCCCAAAGAGGATAACTAGGAAACCAGGTTCGTTTTTTAAAGAAGGGCCTGTTCTTAAGAAGGGCTGGTTGTAGGGTCACAGGGAACTAGTAGGAATCTCTAAGAATCTCTTAAACATCTACAGTTAGGGATCTTTATTACAACTCTGAACTCTGAGGTCTCCTTCTGATGGATTCCTACACATTTTTTGCTATACTGATAGTCAGTGTTGCTGTTTTTATATTTATTTGCAATTCTGATGAGGCACCACTGGCTATACCTTATATGACAATGTTATCCAGGGAGCAAAGAACATTGGTTGATAATGTCTGTACAGTAGAAAAGCTGCTAAAGGGCATTCAGAAAACTGCCTTAAGTTTTGAACACCTGTACCTATATTTTTAAAAGTCCTTAACTATCCTGAACAAGCACAGGTGGCTATCCAGTAACCGTGGCCTTGTTAGCTCTAGGGCTTCAACTTGGTTTTAGATTTTCTGTGGAAAAAGAGTCTCATGGACAGGAAATGTCTATGGCTAAAGTATGCTCTCTGCTATACAGATGCTCAAGCAGGAGGAAAGACAAGGATGTTTCTATAAAGGAACTGGACCTGGACCTGGCTTCTGTAAAGGTTGGTCCCCCAGGTATCAAGAGAGCCAGTGGGCTAGAAGGTGTGACTTGGTGTTATGTCCAGTAAAAACCTGAAAATCTCCCTAGTCAAACAAAACAAATCACTGGATGCCCAGAAGCGTGCTTTCTACTTCCAGCTTATCCTAAACCATCCTGCCCATGAAATCAAGTCAGCTGACAACACTATACATTTTTCCTCTTCCATCTATCAAGTAATGGTAGGATTTTCCCCTGAATATGGAATCTCCATTTTTCATTCTTTCATTTTTATTCCCACTTACACTCAAGTAAAAAGAAAAATCGCTCTTGGGAAGATGATACTAATATCATCCCAGTGATTAATCAAGAAGTGACAGGTTAGGAGCAGTTTAAACCAATACGCAGATTTCACTGAAAAGTTATTAAAACAGTTGCTACAGTTTAACATACCAATGGCAGGACCACCTTGTTTATTCTCCTCCAAAATGGCCGCAAGGTCTTTGTGCTTCAGTTTAGGTTGACGGCTGGCTGGCTGTTCCTGCTCTGGACTTTTTACCTTCAAAAGCTGGTTAGCCTTCTTAATTTTTTGGCTGTATTGCCTTGCCATCAGAAAGACCCTGTTCTTTGTTTTATCCACAACATCTAATTCATTGTCAGTGCTTTCTGTATGTGCATTGGATAGAATACTGTTTGCAGATTCATAAGGGCTATCCATGAAAGGCAGCTCACTGCAGAAGGAAGATCTGCTTAGGCTCATAAATGAACTCTCTTTACATGGCGGTGTTTCTTCACATTTGAGGTTTGCTTTGTGTTTCAAAGTCTTAGGGAAAACAGGGGTTTCAGGCAGGGAGAGGGTAGACAGAGAATATTCCACATCCTTACTCAATTCAGGTGTACTTCCCACATGCAGCCTTTCCTGTATGTCATCTTTGCAAACAGGAAAGGCTGCAAGGAGGCGGTCTCTTGTTTTTTCTTCATTTTTCTTGATATAATTCTCCAGATCATTCCAAATTTCATCTACTTCCTCTGAAAGTTTATCTGCTACAGACTTGTGAGAGTGTGAATCAGAGTTGGAGGAGCTATCTACTAAGCTCAAATAATCATTATCTAATGGAACACGATGGTAAGGACTTTCATCTTCACTGAATTGAAGACTCTCTTCAGAAACAAACTGCCGTAGACTATCACAACAAGCAAAATCTGTTTCCAGGCCCAAAAAACTCCTCCTTTTAGAGCATTTAAGGCGGTCACATTTAAAAGTCAACAGTGGTGGATCTGGAAGCACTATGGTGTCATAGATGTTATCCTCGACAATCCTGAGCTCATCTGAACTTGACGTAGGTGCCTCTCTACTGTGTAGGCTCTCATCTCTAGTTTCGAAAATAGAGGTCCTATTTTGATCTGCCTGCCTCTTTTTGGAACTCAATTCCAAACTAATTTTGTTTTGACTCTCATACAGAGAGTCTCTAGCAGATCTTTGGGGACCACGATCAGACTCTTCCCTTCTTGCGAGACCCATCAGTTTTAAATCTTCATAGCTTATGTTATCATAGACATGTTCTATATCATCAATGGTCAGCTCTTCTGAATATTCTGGATAAGCATTCATGCCAGTTCTAGAACCACTTTTTACCTCCCTTCGAGAACTGTGCTGGCTAAGTTCACTGGCTCTGTATCTTGCATCATTTGGGCCAGTATTACTTTCACCAGCACTACTGGCTCGTCTAACAATTTTGTGATGATTGGAACTGGCAGCATCATTCTGATGAACTAGTCCCAAATGCCAGCTGCATGGGCGACCAGAAGTGCCCCTCTCTTCACAGACAGTTGAACTTGAGTTGGATGTAGATACTGATGGTACAAACATCTGATAATCATCTTCATCTTCATCATTTTCATGATGCGTTTGTCTGCTGGGGAATAGTGCTTGTCGGATTTGATGATCTGTCCAGATGTTTCTGGCTGTTGTACCTCCCCCCAGGATATTCATGATTAGTGAACTGTTCTGTGGTGTGCTGAACTGCCTAGATGACTGCCTGGCAGAACAAGAAAATGGAAGATCTGTATTCAGCTGGGTTGATTCTTCATCTGAAGGGTCCTTGGAGCTCTGTGGAAATTTGAAATAGTGCATTATTAGTTTATTCTTAAAACTGATCAGGAATTCTGCTATTCTGAGGGCTATAACACTGACCCACAAGCTCTGCAATGTGGAACTTGGTGATGACACGTGATAGCATTAGTTTCCATTGCTGCAGACCACTTATTACTCTTCTCACCCTGAGGCCAGATTTGTGTGGCTCCTAGTCCTTGCTACTGCTCAGAAGCTGAACCTACACAGCATTCCTCTACACACTGGGCATATTATAAATTGATGGGTGACGCAAATAACACTGCAAGTTCTTTTTTTGGAAGACCAGCAGCTGGAAACATGGAATGGACTGTACAAATTTAACAGGGATTAGCTTACTTTCAAAAATCTGCTAGCCAGAGATGGAGTGAGAGCCATGTCAGGTAAAAAAAAAACAAAACCCCAGTCTTGACCCAGTAGAGTCAATACCAGTTTTGGGAATATACTGTGTTTTCCTTCCCTGGGACTCTGCAATCAACATAGCCACTCACAACATGTACTATAAAAAAAAAGGAAGGTGCAAGTAGCTCATCTACATGATTTCAACTCTTTATTACTGCTAAATAGCTTTGCTCTTCCTTCTCATAAAGCTGACACAAACCTCCATTTTCTTTGCCTTGAAGTACTTATCCAAATAAAAGAGGATATCTCCACTGCATTCTCAGTAAATGATTCCATTTTCTACCTTACCACTTAAAACAATCCTAATGTCTACATTTTTAAAATAGTGAATCTTAAGTTTTGAATCATTACTACTTGTTTTAGAACAGTGCCCTCTACCAGAAAGAAACCATTTCCTTCTTCCATTTTAATCTTGTTCCCTAGCCTAGACTGTATCTCAGGAAGATGCAGATAAATCTACATCTAGTTTGTAGGGTATGTTCCTGAATGTGGTTAGCTAGGTAGATATAGATTAGATACATTTTCAGAATCCCTGTTGATCCATTACAGAAGGAAAGTTATTTTTTTCTTATATGCTTTGATAATTTTATTTACAGCTTTGCATTGGATTCCTTCCAATCTATCAATTAATTAATTCTCATGACAAATGTGAAACTTAAGGGGCTGGATACCTAAGGCTGGATTCTTCATGTTATGGAACATGCAGAGATGCAGGTACCTTTAACACCCATTAATTTTAACAGTACTACCCTCCTGCTTGAGAAATTAATCATGTGCTTACGTGTTTTGCTGAATCAGGCCTTTGACAGGAATTTAGGATATTCAGTACTTTGCAAGATTAAATCCCAAGAAAGCAAATGCAATGTTATTTGCTTAGTGCTTCTCCTCTCATTAGGTAACAGGCTGCTATGCAATAGCATCAGATCACTGGTAATAATTATTATCTCAGAAAGAAGTTTGTGCATTAAATGTTCAGTAATTATTTACTTAAAGTAAAATTATATGATTATCTTGATTATTTTAACGTGATCATGTGAGAGACTGTAGTGCAAACTACAAAGCAGCTGTGTAATGTGTAGCAAATGATTTAGGATGCTAACTTTATTACAACGCTTGCAGAAACTATGGCTAAATAAAGGTTCATATGTTCTGGAATAGTTGAAGAGACATGGATGGGTTCAAATGATAGTTGAATACCCACCCATGTCTCCAAAAATTCCAGAATATAGGTTTCAAAACAAATGAACCTTTATTTAGTCTTACTGTACAGTATACAAATACTATAATAAAGTTAGCATCCTAAATAATAGGCAAACACAGTTGCTTCTTAGATTGCACTAGTTTCTCACATGATTTTAAAGTTATAATTGAACACGTTTTGATTATTTTCAAGGATTTTTTCTAGCTTTGTTTAAAACGTTTATTTAAATACCAATAAAAAAATTTTGAACATAGTTATTATTGTGATTTTATTTATATCTGCATCTGTGCATCTAGGAGATGCACACAAATAGTTCTGTGATATGAAAGGATATGTAAGAAAAAGAGGAGAGAGGGAGATAAAAAGGGAGACAGAGAATTTTAGTTTTAAATACCTGAACTTCACATTTGTTGAGATTGACGCTTCTTCGTTTTTCAACATTTTCAGCAGCTTGACTATTGAGTCTTTTTCTACCTCCCTTTGGTTTTTGCTGTGAATTTTGTTGCGTGCCCTGTGAATAAAAAAGAACAGGTGTACTATATTCTACAGTCCTTTGAACAGCAACGTTGGTGAAAATTACTAGGTTCTGGAAAGCTGTGTCCCAGGTCCAGTTTTCACAATACAAAAAGGATGGGAAAAATACTTGAGAGAGTTCAAAAGAGGGTTTAAATTCAGATCCTTCTTTTCTAAGGCTGCAACAGGGAACCATTGATGTATAAACAAAACACTTGTAGTGGTGAGCCATCCCACAGCTAAACAAACTACACCTGCACACACTCCAACTTAAATGGATACTACTTAGGTTTTACAATTTTTGTGGGTAAATTCAAGTCACCTCCTATAGAGTCAAACAAACCAAAGAGGTTACCTGTTCAGACTCTTCCTCATCATCAGCATCTATCTGTTCAGTAGCACATATTTGAAGACTCTCGTCTTGATCGCTGCTGTAGGCTTGTTCAATGGGCTCTTGAAACTGATTTGCTAGCCCACTATGGTCTAATGACACCTTTTTTCTAGAACTGAGCAGGGTTTCATTTGATCCCAGTTTGGGAGCCTGAGAAAGCAGGGCTCCTTCAATACTGATCCGCTTTAAAACAACAACAACAAAAAAGCATTAATATTTTATGTATACTTTAATATGTCACAATCATCACTAATTTATACTTTAAGATTAAAAAACCACAAATGCAACATTCCCAAATGCATCATAGCTTTGGTCTGCATTTATTTGGCTGTACTTAAGTAAAGCAGACATGTAAACAGATTGATAAATCTTTCATAGATTATCTCAGATGATATAATCTGAAAAATGACTATGGAGAGAAAAAGGAATCGGGGGAGAGACTCAATGATTTTAACGTTTTAATGCCAGATAAAATGTGCGCTACTTGGAAATAAAACTATTTCCTAAGTGCCAGCCATGCAAACTCAGCCTAGGATCTAGTGCTTGAGGGGTACATCCAGACAAGCACACACATGGGGCATGTAGCACCACAGACCCATCTGCAGTGTTGCATACCACATGCACTACACATGCAGGTTGTTCCCCACGCTGCTAATTTGCTGCACAGGGGTTGTTTTGGTTTTTTTTCACCACTGGGAGATCCCGGTGTCAAAAGACGCCACGCACCTAAAAAAAACTGGGGTGGTGCACTGGGCAGCAACACACACTGGCTGAAACCGGAGCCTGGCCAGAAGATGCCATACAATGGCTGCCGGCCAGGCTCCCTGCTGCAGGACTGCTGCAACTGCAGCCCCTGGAGGCCTCTAGGACCTTACGTAAGGCTGCTGGAGCCAGCCCAGGTGCTGGTCCCAGCATCCCACTACCCTACTAGGGCAATTTGCCATGCTCCAGACCGTGAATGCACGGGGATTCCCTGGAGACAAGTAGCATGTGTCGCTGCTCTTTGTCCCCAGGGAAACACACACTTCCATTCATGGGCACACATTCAAGAAGTCTTTTCTCAGGTTCAAGAGGAACTTTATTAACAAAGAAAAGATACAAGCTAGAAGATAATTTATACTGTTCATAGCTTTACTGAATCTGCTACACCAATAAAAATAATAGTAATAAAAGACTCTAATAGTAATGATGAGATTTTAAATTGCATATGAGGAACAGCAATTTTGCATAACATATTTTATGATCTAAACATATTTTTAAAAGTACTTTTGTGACATCATAAAAACTAGCTAGGAAAAAGTGCATCAACCAATTTTTTATCAGCTATTACTGAAATAAAGTTTGTTGTACTTTGTAATGGCACTGGGTATACTATAGCATGTTTTGTCCTTGTTTTAAAAATGGCATACAATTCTGAAGGTCTGCATACTTAAATATCTTGGATTCAAACAAAGCAATAGGTTATGGGATCTACTGAAATATGAAATACACACAGTCTTACCTTCTGCATATCTGAATTTATTTCTGAAAAGAAATAAAAATATGTACTTCATTATTAGTAAATTATCATGGCAGTATCTGTCTGTACCACTGTATGCATTACATTAATATTTCAATCACAAACCACATTTTCTAAGAATTACAACTCATTTTTTTCTTGCTGAAACCTTGTTTTCCCAGAAAGATTTACATAGGTGGTAATAACAGTAAGACATTCATTTTATGAAAGATTCTATCTTGCTCCTTTAAATACTTATGAAATGGAGTAACTTTATGTATGGGAATAGTCCAGATAAGACTACTAAAGTAGTACTTGAAAAGAGCTTGCAGCATCATAGCCTACACACGGAAATTCAGAAGTAAAAAATGAATTCAATCTGTTTTCTCTGTGCTGCAGATTTTTAAAGGTGGTGCTTGAGGCTACAAACTTTGGGCAAACTATTCAGCTGACATAAAATCATTACAACTCTACTAACTTCACTAGAGCTATATCACTTAATATCAACTGATGATCCAGTCCTACCTGTATCACGAACTCCATGTACAGTGGAAGAATCATGTACAGAATTTTAGCCCAGACTTGAATTTTAAGTCAGACTGCCTCACCTAATTTGCTTGATGGGTTAATATTGACTTAATGCTGCAATTAATAGTAGGGCAGGTTCTTTGGGTAAATGTGGTATCTTTTATTAGACCAACTAACTACTTAGAAAATTATTTTTTACAAGCTTCTTTCAGGCACAAACTTCTTTCTTCAGCCTCCTGGTGTTTGTGTACTCTCCTGTGTGAAATAGAAGCTTAGGCCCATATGCAAAACGAAGATCTGTGAAAACGGAAATACATGGCAAAGAAGATTTTACCAGCTACATTTTATCACTGGTTAAAATTCCCCTCTTCCTCCTCCCCACCTTGCACCTATTAACTCCCATCCCCTCTGATCTTCCCCGCCACACATTTGCATTTTCACAGACCTGCATTTGGCATATTGGCTTAAGCTTCTATTCACCCAGGAGAATACACAAACACCAGAAGACTCTCTCTAGGTCTGAAGAAGGATGTTTGTGCCTGAAAGCTTGTAAAGAACAATTTTTCCAACTATTTAGTTGGTCTAATAAAAGAACCTTGTCTGCCTATGTCCTTAGACCAACATGGCTACAACCAACACCCCCAAAAGAATTAATAAAAGGGGCTTCAGTTACAATATAACTTACCACTTGACTTCATAACTTTATGGACTCTGGATGAAGGTTCTGAAAAAGAGAAACAAGTATGTAATAATAATTACTGGCATCTTGGCCAATGTTTTAAAAACAGAAGCCAAAATGTATGCTCCCGAATTTAGGCATCTTGTTCAGAATAGTGAGATTTAGCTGCCTTTAGAAAAACCACCCCCTAAAAAAAAAAAAAAATCTTGATTTTCTTAAGGGCCAAGCCCACAGAAGCTCTCATTATAAATATTTATTTTGATGGCATTTGTAGCTTTATGTTGATTGAAAATATAAACAGATCAATGTTACAAACACGAACATTCAGTCAATATTTTACTTCGTCTCTTTTAGATGCACAATAGTATCAATGTTATATAATCATTTTGTATTTACAGATGATACTTGAAAGACACTTGAAAACCCAAGGACTTTATTGTTTATCAGTGCCAAAAGTTAGTTTATTTTAAAATCATTACCACTGAGCGCTCTTAGGCTCTACTTACAGTATTTATTAACTAATGTAAATTTAAAGCATTTAGTGTAAACTAAATACAACTGCATAATGAAAATGTGAAGGCATCCAAATTATATAAACATTTTATCTATTGCAAGAAAATCTTACTATTCCAATCAGTATATGTTGAATTTCTAGTTTCCAGAAGGTTGAAGTAAGTAAGTAGGCGTAATCTGGTTTAAGATAACAAACTCAATCAAATCTGGATTGAACCAGATTTCCAAGGTATCAATTTTAACAGGGTTTTTTTTTTAAATAAGAAGCATGTCATACTTGTACATAAAATAACACAGGCAAGCCAGTATACAGATTATCCTTTATCCATCAACACACAAACTGTTTTAACATGCACCATTTGGATTTTAGGCTAATGTAATAAAACACAAATTGTTAAAAGAGTATTGTTTCTCTATCTAATCCAATCCCTCCTTGCATGACAATATCCTCATTATTTCTTACTTGCCCATACCTCTGGGGGTGTGATTCTGGCTTTCTGTGATAAAAAAAAAAATCACAAATTCTCTGATAAAAAATTGCAAATTCTCTGATAAAAATCCCAAAATCTGTGGTTAAAATTAAATGCCCCCCCACAGCCCTGCTGGTGTCTCTCACTCCCCCAAAGCCCTCCATCCCTGCTTGTGCCCCTTGCCCCCCTGCAGGGGGCCCCCAGCTGCCAGGGCTAGGGGACCAGGGACCCAGCTCTGCAGCCCCCTGCCCCCAACAGAAGGCAGCATCTGCTACAGCAGGAGCACAAGCTGGCTCCCCCTCTGCTGCTGCCTGCTGCAGGCTTGGGCAAGGCCAGCTCCCAGTGGCAGCAAGCACTCTTGGGGGATAGGGAGGACCCACGCCCCCCAGATCTGTGTGGAGGGTAGGGGCAGGGTGGGTGTGTGCTGCCCCCGTGCACACAGAGGAAGTGTGGCCAGGGCAGCATGGTGCTTACAGCAGCAGGCAGCTTTCATGCATGGCCCTGCTATGTCAGTCGCACACGCTGTGCTCTGGAGAGCCTGGGGGAGGGTAGCAGGGTGGGGGCACAACATTTGCAACCCAGGGTTTGCAGCTGGCTGGGCAGTCCAGCTGGGACGGGGTTTGCAGCCTGTCTGCTCCTGGCCAAACAGCTCTTGTAGGCTGGAACTCAGCCAGCCTGCAGAGCCCTTTGCAAAAAGGAGAAATCCGCTGGTTTCTTTTCTAAAAGGGAAAATGCGTGTTTTCTCTGATAAAAATGGGAAATCCGTGGTTTTCTCTGTTTTTCCGTGGGAAACGGAAAACCAGGATCCCTGGTGATGACACACACACTAATTTTTTTTTCTAGTTAACTCTGAACTAATTTTGCCTGTCCTGCAGGGGGACTGTAGGAAGGGACTGGAAGACTGTAAGAGCCAAAATGATTTTGCTTCCATTTTTACAGCAAAGTAGGCAGGTCCCAGAGGTAGTGGAACCAGCAGTGGGACAGGGGGCACGAGCCTTGGGGTGTTTAAGAGGAGAGGGGGTGCCAGATCAGAGGCAGAGGGGCACTAGAAAGGATGCAGCTATGCTGCTATTCTGGCAAAAACCAGCTCCAGCTGCATAGAATGGGGAATGTGCCAGGGGATGAAGACAGGAGGGTGCCCTCTGCCATCAAAGTAAGATTTTTACATCTTTTTCTTAGCATGGCATTTGGCAGTGCCTGTGAGAGACAGGGCACAGACAGAAGCCTTAACTCCTTGGCCGAAGGATTCTTTCTCCTGTAGCTGCTGGATCCTAGACCTGCCTCTGCTCTGCCCACCATTTTCTTCCACCTCTTCATGCAGCCAGAGCCTGAAACTGCCAGGGCCCTAGAGCTCCCCTGGCTTCACCTCTTTGGTCCTGTGTACCAGCCAGAGCCTGTAGCTGCCCAGAGCATAAACCCTAAGAGATACGTCTTGGAGTTACAGTGTGAGCTCAAGGGCAGCTCAGGCTTTGACCCACACCTCCAGCCATGCAAACAAGCAGACTCAAAGCACCAAAAAGCACATGTCTGAGGACTGGCTCTGTGGATGCAGTAGGGGGTTCAAGAAAAAATACATATAGGAGTGCACATTAAGACTGTGGTGCAGATTCAGCCTATGTAAAATGCACAAAGTCACTCTAGTACAGGCAAAATAACCAAAGACTGCTGATGCCTGATTTTGTGCTGCATAAAGCCACAGAACTTGTTCCTCCCTGTCCCCTCAAAGCACATTAAAGTAGGCTGATAGATAGCTTGTATGGGGAAAAAGAGTTCCTAGTGCATGTGTAAGCACATACATTTTCCAATTCCACTGTTGAGTCTGAAACAGCAAATTGATAATGCTAGTTGGAATTATCCAATGGGATGTTTTTGCACTGGAAGATGCTGATTTGATGACACTGAGCAGCTCCATTAGAACGTGCTGATTTTAAGGAACATTTCAGCAGAGCACTGGCAGGTTTCTGGTAGGACTCTGCCTACCAAACAGGTTCTGAAACCTGCCAGGTTTTCTGTTAGTATTCCCACCTTGAGCTTGGAGAGCCTGCCTAGAACCCCATCTCCTGAACTCCCAGGCAACCCTGGGTCCCAGGCTCTGGAACAGCATGCCCAGGAGGGAAGCTATATTACCCAGGATTTTCTTCTTCCCCAATAAACAACTTGGCAAGCTTCCCAGATCCCTCACTGCCTCTGAAAAACAGTCCAGATATTCCTCATCTACCCCGTGACATCTGTCCAGGAGTTCCCCCTTGTCCCTTCTTCCTCTTTTACCCCAGGATGAGCATCAGTCCCAGTAGAGAGGGAGACATCATGATGGTTAAGCACTAGAACAGACTATCTAGAGAGGCTGTGGAAACGCCATCACTGCAAAGTTTTAGGGAAACTGGTCAGAGAAACACATGAATGAGATACTCTGGACAAGGATGATCTTGGCTTGAGTAATGGGGGTGGACTAGATGACTTCCCAATTCCCCTTCCAGCCCTACTTTTCTAGGATTCTATCACATTTTCTGGCCAGGTCTACTGATCACACAATTTTACTTTCATGTGGAGAATTTTAGACTAGCAATAAAGACAAATGAACAAAATTCTGGCAAGCAAGCTGCTTCTATCATTAAAGCAGCAAATCAGTGGAGGTAGTTTTCTTTTCACATGAAACCTCTTTCAGTAGCTTACTCCCTACCTTTCTTCTAACCCCATGCATCACTTGAAACCATGTTTACACATTTTCTTTCATTGCCTTTTGTCAGCAGAGTTTTTTAATCACCTGACTTCCTTCTCACTCTCCGTGGAGTGATGCCTTCCTTAAAAGGAGAGGTTGCTTTCATTTCTCCCTCTGGACTGTAATGGAATCCTGGATGATCTGTAAAATAATTACATCAATAAAAACGAGTGTTAATAAAAACACTGTGATTTAGTGTCATGTGATTCACTTATAGGATTGACTTACAGGACTAGGAGATGTGCCATGTGATTCACTTATAGGACAAGAAAATGAAGACCCACCCATAGAGAGCTCAGGGGCCACACCAGAAGATCATCCAAGCATGACTTTTTCCCAATCCTGGCCTAGCACACACCATTCAAAAATAGTTGGGGAAGAGGATTCAGGGAAAAGGGAGATCCTGTCAGATTCTCCTTATGAAGTTTTCTTGTGGTTAATTCTTTGGGTGCGGTCACCTCCTATAGAACAGCCTGCAGAACTCAGACCCACCTCAAGATCCTTCTAGACCTGGGGCAGGCAATTATTTCGGGCAGACAGCCACTTACTGAGTTTTGGCAAGCCATCAAGGGCCGCAGGATAGGCATCCAGGGGCAAATAAATATTAATTTTCTAAATTTTTTGAGGGCCCTGTGGATGAGCCGCATTTTGCCCACCCCTGGTCTAGACTGCAAGAGGGAATGGGCCATGCCTATGGTGACTCTGGGACTCCTTGTCCAGCTTCCAGGCAGCCATGCCACCAGAGGCTCCTTAGTAGTCAGGTAGTCTAGGATTCTTGTCGATATGGGTTAGCAGAATGAAAAAAATCATGGAAGTGTCAATGGAGCATCAAGCTGTATGTGTTTATTCCCTGAAGTTTTTCCAATAGTTTCTAGGCAGAAGGAGATAGTATTGCAGAGGTCACTAACCGCCTGTACCCTACCTTTCTTCAAGAGTAGGAAGGGGACAAACCTGTTCTCTCCATTCATTTTACTAGGAACCATTTCATGTTAGCTGCTGAGTGGTCTGACCTCCTACTGACCTCTACAGGACCAAGCCTTATATTTATTTTCCCACCTATTTCATACTAATATAAACATAGTTCTCTTTCATTCTGGATAAAGCCCACAGAGTAGACAAGCAAAGTGGAAAGACTGAACAAATTTTATAGCAAAAGAGAAAAACTTACGTATGGCATCCATCTCTAAAATTGCCTGCTTGGCCTGAAAAAGACAAATTGTCCATTAACAGGTTAAAATATACAAGCATATTAAACAATGTAATTTGGCACTGAATAGCAGTTTATAAAATCTAAATTGTTTCTATCTAAGAAGCATTGTAGGTTACACATAGCATAGACTGTTCCACACAACGTGACTTACATACCTGAACTGGCATTTTATTCTATTAAATTTAACATAGTTAATTTTCAAAGAAGTAACAAATGTGCACTGTACAGCTTCTGCTCTATTTTGCCTGGCCAACTGCCATTCCAGCATGGCAGAGAGAGCAGTGATTGTCTACATTTAATTAATTGGGAATGCATCTACGTCAGTGTTGGTTTCAGGGAATTTCCAGGTTTAGAGTTGGTTTAGCTGTCTGCACCAGTGCTACAACAGTCCCCAGTAGAGGAACATGATGAGAGAATGCTGAATTTTGACAGGCGGGCTCTTAGGAAACAGGTGGAAATTAGGTTTTGCCTAATTCTGCTAAGACTGACACAAAACTCACCTCAGCATCATGGTAACCAAACCTCATAATCTCACAGCTCTGCCTCCTATGACTACCTTTGCTATGCACAGAACATTTTAAATATATGTACAACTGAATGCAAACACTTTCTGGCTGCTCTGAAATTATAATAACAAGATAAAAGAGATAATATGGAAATCTGCTCATTTTAGAGGTGAAAAAAACAGTAGTATGCCATGAAAAAAGCAAAGCAGATCCCCCAAAAGTAAGGCAGTGTGGGGAAGAGGAGTGGGAGTGGTGAAGGTAAGTGTTAAGGGAGACGTTTCTTATAGCTAGATATGAATGGAGGTTGGGAAGCATGGTTCGGATCAGACAGAGTCTGCTTTTAAGGCAGGGAAGTGAGGTGAGGGGGAAGAGTTCACAAATTTGCAGTGTTGTTTGGGGTTTACTGTTGTTTCTTACCTGTGGGTTATTTGTCATTTATTGTAACCTACTTTGAGCCTTTCTGGATAGGACTAAACAAGAGCAGCAGCAATAACATAGCTTAGAAGTCCAAAAAAACCAAAATAGCTTATAATGTTTGCATCTGTAAAGGTGTAGTTAACTTATTTTCCACTAGGTGTCAGACATGTCCCACTGCTAAATATGAAATGTGGGGCGGATGGGAGCAGGACATTTACATAGTGTGGTAGTAACTACTCCTGTTAAAGCATGTGCAGGCAACAACATCAGCAGCATAGGAACGCGGCTGGGTGCCCAGGGTGGCTGCCACATACAGGGGCAGCAGTGATTTCTGGTTGCTGCTGCCACCATGACTGCAATTGAGCAGCTGTGGCAAAAGCTGTCTTTTTCACCCCCATTTCCATCCGCTCCAGAGGCAGTTGCCCCCGTCTTCCCACTCTACTTACACTGCTGCACAACATATTTACTTAATTTGACTTTTCTCTTTTGACAAAGGTTTAAATGATTTCTCACAGGGTGATCAAGAGTTTCTCTTTGTCATACAAGCAAGATATAATATGTGGATGTAAAATATTGCAACTAATTAATTAATCCATTCATGAGAACTAAAGATTTAAGTAGCATCTTGGTATGAAATTGGAGTTCACTCACCAGCCTCTTTTTACAACTTGTTAAATAACGGTGAGAAGAATTTATTCTTAATGGCCAATTTTAAGATAAATTTCATACTTTAATGAAGTTATTCCTTCTTTCTGTTCAAATTCTCTATTTTGTCAGCAGGAAAAAAAATGCCCACAGAATTATAATTACTACTGTTATTGAAAACATAGTATTTTTTTCCAAGTTCTAGCTTTACAATTAATATGGCCTTGTATTTGCCTACTAAATTCTATCTACCACAAGGACCAGCACTTTTGGCTATTACAGACATAATTTAAGAGCATCGTTATGCAGGAGAACGCCAGAAGCATAGAGTAAAATCCTGCCTTTACTGCGGTCAATGGGAGTTTTGTCAATGGCTTCAGGGGACCAAGATTTCAACCAGTGTGACTAATTACTGAGAAACGCAGTAAATTATATTGCAAACCACCACCTCGAGTTATAAAAGAGGGTTTATAAATCAAGGGAAAGAGCCAGCTTTGTGCATTGCTTAGACATAGCAGATATGGGCATGACATCACTGACAGCTGTTCTGAAACTTAGCTTCATGTCCCATTTTCTGTGTTACAACATTTGTAATATCACAGATACGGACAAAGCCCACAGCCATTTTACTCCATCCTTGTCAACATCTGACAATTCCAGAAACCAGATGCTGTCAAGGCAGCTGCACTGGGGCAACCCTTAAAGACAGAAGTGCATGGTGCTGGTGTAAAAGTGACATACACCAGTCCAACTTACCTCAGACTACATTTACACTGCAATCTAGGTGTGACTGAGGAATGTTGCCACCATGTTTCTTGTTGCATGAGAGCCCTAGCATCGTGGGTTTCAACTGCTAAGTACCGAGGGTCCTGGGTAGGATGGTGTACCTTCCCTGCCATTGCTGAGGTACCCTCTGTTTCCAGTCAGGGTAAGTGACACAGATGCAAGTTAACTTGCATGGGTATAGCTACATTGATGCAAGTACAAAAAGGGCAAAAGGTCAGTGTAGATAACCCAATGAGATACTTCATTTCTTTTGCCAAGTCCAGCTGCTACTTTTACTGGAGCCTTTCCTCTTCAATTTTGTGAATCTTTAAAAAAAATTGACCTAAAAATTAACATATTAATTATTCATTATTCATGTTTGATGATTAATGAGAGGCTTTGGGGTATAAAAGCTGCTTTGTCATGTACCCTTTTGCTGCTAATAAAAATGCTTTAAATAATACAAATGCTTAGGTTAGAGATTCTATTTATTTATTACCTTAGCAGGAATTTTAGCTGGGTGGTTTTCCAGAATCAATCTCTTCAAGTGAAGGATCCAAAGTCGTTTATCTTGTTGCGATTTTGCCTGTTACAACATTTTGAGATAGTCAGCTAATTTATTTCTGTAGCCACTTGGCACTTAGGTTATAGTCATCCATGGAATACATACGGCTAAAAGTGACTCACTTTTACCACTCGCAATAAAATAAAGGGGACTCGAATACTTTTATTTGCGGCCTTGAAAGAAATAGCAAGATAATTTTCAGAGCATGGAGATTACTTTCATACCTGCACAGTGTGCTGCATCTTGGGATTTTTATAGTGGAAGACACTGAAGCTGAGTGGTTCCTTTGGTATAACTTCAACAAGCATGAGATTCCCACACTACAGCAGAGAAAGAAAGTGGTGAATGAGAAGAGAGCTAAACCATAGTTTGAAATTTGTTTAGTCAGCATATTGCAACTGAAGCCACAACATACCAATATGTGAGCCTTATATGTATACATTTCTTCTCTCTTCTTTGTAATAAGCAGCAGTTTGTCAAACAGGAACAAAGTGCGCTCATTTTTTGCTCGCTGAATGCGGAACGTTCCTTCCAAAACCAGCTCCCCGTAACTAGTGAGGTCTGGCCCTTTCCAGTTAGTGAGTAAACTCTGTATCTCCTGCAATAAATAAAAAACAGAATCACATTCAAAACAATATTTTAGTGAAAAGTTTCAAATTCAAAGTACAATACTGTATATTGAGTCCACTAGAACTGTTCTCGGATGATCAGTGTGTAACAGTGTATAGCTAATTCCTATGCAGTGGCTGTTTATGGGCTCATATTTAGTAGCCTTTGTAGTGGATGACAGTTGTTCGTATCATACAAACATCATGATGATGTCTAACTAGTGCTTCTGTCAGTAATGACAGTAGAATAGCACAAATACTGAATAGCACAAATACCTTCACCCCAACATGTGGCCCTATTTTGGACTAAGCACTTTGTCAGTTTTGTTGCTACACTGCAGCCTCACTCAATCTATGGAAAACTATAACATTTCCATTTCAAGTACAGTCAGTCTAGTACCTTTTGTTGGGACCAAACATGTCTAACAAGTGTTTTAACTGTTTTCTTTTACTCCAGTCTCAGATTGTAGTCACCTTACTCTCTCTCTTACCTCATAAACCCTTCTTCGTCTACCCACATCAATGCCCAAATTCTCTTAACATATGTTTCCCCTTGATTGTTACTGGTGATGGACCTAAGAAATGTCAGATACAGGCAACCTGGAGAACAGAAAGTTCACAAAAATGAACACCAAAATATATGTTGCCTCTAAATCCATGTCTGAAATAATCCAACTTTGTTGATTAGGGCATAATGCAAAAGGCATCTCTCTCAAACGGTTTTCAGGAATGGGCTGAGATTTACTTCAAGAGGATGAAAGAGCATTTATCACTGCTGTGGTTTATCTGCATTGCTACTGCTGCTTTTGGGGGCCTACAGCCCTGTGTAGGCACCATCTCAATTATTACTTAAGTCAAAATAAATACACGGTTTAGTGATGTGAAATCCTTATAAAAGTGCAGCTGTATAGCACCATGTGTTCATTTAAAAATACACTAACGTCTGTATGGCACCTAAACCAGATATTAAAAAAATTACATTTTTGAATATGCAGAGCAACTGAGATTAAAAACCACAGTTAATAAAAAGGCTCTAATTGTACCTGTTTGCTCTAGTACAGAGGTCCTCAATCTTTTTTAGACCCAATACATCCTTCATTAGACTCAAGTATCCCCTCCCCCCTCAGAAAATGCTAAATTTTAGTTTTCACTCATTTTTTTCACTGAACATGGACATATAACAGAGCAATTTTTCCTATTGCAAAGAACTCAGAAAGACTACAACAGATCAGAATTTTCTGATGCTATGAATTCCTATTTGAAATTCCTGGGTCTATCTTGTGAATCATGCATATGTGTTTGCACAACTATGTGCTAACCGCAGGAACCTTAAAGGGATCCCACAGCAACCCAGGGTGCCATGGCACCCTGGCTGAGAATCACTGCTCTTACACCTCCCTCTTTGTAACTTACAAATCTGAGTGTGTACCACAGAGACTAAATTCATCTCTTTGAAAGAGATTTCTTGCAGAATGAAGCTATAATAGTTGCAAAATTACAGATAAATTGCTATATGATAGCAACCCTCATTACCACTGCAGAAAGTGAAATTGCTGTCAAAAGGAGTAATAGTGAACACAAAAGGTCTGCCCCTCTATATATTTGCCAGATCAGAGCACCTTCCCAAAGCAACTAACTGATTTTATTGCTAAATATTCCTGGTTATCAAAATTCAGATGTATGTCAGTGAATTAGTTTAAGTTTTTACTGCTTATCTTCAGCAAAATGTGGCAAATTACCCAGACCTGGGGAAAGCATTATAGACTCAATCCTGTTTCTATATGCTACAGGAGCTGCCAGCTATTTGACAGATGCCACAGATTTCCAAAAAAACTAGTTCCACTGACAACTTTCTCACTACCACCATATTAACTACCATGGATGTTACATATGTGTACACCAGTGTACCCCACAGGATGGATTACAAACCATAAAGAACATTACCCCCGATGAGGACACTGCTTTCATTTACACTGTACTCTCCCACTTTCTCCTCACACAAAACTATTTTAGATTTGGGGACTCCCTATACCAACAAAAGAATGGCACTGCCATTCTTCCCATGCAATACATGTCTTCCCCTGCAATAGGCCGATTGGGCAGCATGCACCGCTGAAAAGTGAAGCCAGGGCACTCAGAGTTGCACTGTGGCTGCCAGCCAGGCTCCGCCTGGCAGGATCACCACTGCTGCAGCCCTGAGAGGTCCCCAGGACCACAGGTAAGGCTGCTGGGGCTAGCCCAGTGCTGGCCCCACCTTCCCTTACCACCCCTGGGGTAACTTGCTGCATACTGCCAAAGTGCACATGCTATGGGTGTTCCCCAGGGACAAATAGCTAAGTCACAAGGTGCGCCACTATTACTTCTCCCTGGGGAACCAAAGATCTGGGCTCATCTGGACATGGCCGTAAGGGGTTTCTTGAGCATCATTTCTGTTTAAACTGTTTAAAATGATACTGGACAATGAATAACTCATAGGTCATGTGAATGGCTTAAATCTAATTTTTCTTTTCCTTTCATCTCTGACACTTTCCTTAGAACAGAAATCCCATTTGATCTTTGATGATAATGCTCTAGGGTTACCAGCCTCAGAATGGTGACTCTGTAATATAGTCTGCATAGGACAGGGGTGGGCAAAATGTGGCCCAGGGGCCGGATGCGGCCCGCCAGGCCATTCTATCCAGCCCGCAGGGCCCCTAAAAAATTTAGAAAATTAATATTAATCTGCCCTGGGCTGCGTGTCATGCAGCCCGTGATGGCTTGCCAAGACTCAGTAAGCGGCCCTCTGCCCAAAATAATTGCCTGCCCCTGGCATAGGTGAATCTCCCCTAGGCTGCAACTCTAAATGCTCAAATCCAATATGACTTAAATGGACTTTTTGTAAGGCTTATCTGTGTCTATGACCACTGCTCTATTGGTTTTACAAAACAACTCATAGTAGGTATAGGTTTCAATAGGCTTTAAGAGGAAAGATAAAATAAGGAGCAAAACAAGAAATGTCTCATAACAAAACAAAATCAATCAGGATAAAAGGGTAAAAAAAATAATAAAAAGAGAAAGAGCCTCAGAAGCTTTCAATAGAATATGCCCTATGATTTAATGTACAATGGAGGCTTTAGCTACCAAGAGGAAAGAAGAAAGAGAATTTATCTGATGCTCTGTATCATTGCAAGTAAATGCTTTATAGGATATTGCTCATAAAGATATCTTTCTGAGGTTTTCTCTAGCACCTATGACCATAGTGTCCAAGACCTAGTACATTTAATCACTGAATTCAGCAAGTGAGTTAAGATTATAGCAAATATAGACATAAAGGAAAAACAGAATTAAAACACATGCATTAAAAATCAGAAACAATCTACATAGAGACAAGAGAAGAAAGTCCTATATAATCCATTAAATTTCCATGCAACTCACTTGCAGCCTGATGGCGTGTTCATGCTTCCTCTTCATATCGTTAATGTGCCATGCCACTCTCTGCATTGTATCTATAGCATCTAGTACAACATCATAGCCTTCAGTGTCCTTGTCAAGGTGGTTTTCTATTTCCTATTAAAGAATCCAGTAAAAAAACAATTACTTACATCTAGATGAAAAGACTTTGAAATGTTGGCAAGGCCTTTATTGTTACTCTTTTGTCTTAGAATCAAAATTACCTGAATGCAGTGATGTGTACTCTGATATTTTTGTATACTTTGTCACCAGTTTAGACTAAACAAGTCTGGCAAAACAAAGTTTTACAGTCAGCTGAGTACTAGTCAAACTGCTGCTGAGAAGACACATTAAAAGAAAAAGAGAGGAGCCACCAATGCATCACACTAATATATAGAAGACAGCCCTTTCTAGGTGAAGACTGCTTATGATTTCTGGAAGCACAGAATGCACCTACATGCCTAGCAAAACCAGACCTGATTACATTCAGCCTTCGACTAGGAAGGGAAGGATGCACTAGACACTTTAAATCATGATCTTTGTCTCTTTACATTTAATTAGAATGTGACATTGTAAAAGGAAACATGTGGAAAATGTTAACAACCAAGCAGGAATTTCTGAAAATGTTCCTTAACTCTATCCACAGGGTATGGAAATAATTCCCAACTGCCCCAGTCTTTCCAGCAAATGAAATTCAGATAAATCAATGGTGTTTATAATTATTTAACCTTCCTAATGGTCATCCAGCGTAGGGTGTCAAGGGCCCGCAGCAAGGCG